AAAACAAAGAAAAAAAAGCTGGCAGAAAGTTATAAAAAAAAAAAATTAAAATTTATAAAAAAAAAAGGAAAAGAGGGGGCTGGCAGACAAGGAAAAAGAAAAAGAAAAAAAGGAAGCAGCCCAGCATGAACAACCTAGCGTGTGCAACCCAGTACGAAGGCCCACATTGCCTAAACCAGCGTCTGCTCCAGCGCGCGTCTTGGCCAAGTTCCATCGAAGCCTAGCTAGCGCCTCCAAGCCCAGCGCACATCCCAGCCTAGCCCGTTCTCCAGCTCCAGCATGCAAGGCTGCCTGCCTGGCACAGGCCCAAGTCGCGCGCAAGGCCCAGCGTGTCTCCAAGCCTCTGCTCTAAAGCCCAGCGCCTCCATCCTTCTACCTTGGGCTTGGCTCTTCCATGCTCTCCCTTTGAGCCCAGCGCACGCCAGCTCCAGCCCAGACTAGGTCGCTCCAAGCTTCAGCATGCATGAAGAACTCGCTATTCATGCTCCAGCACGAATTCTCCAACTTTTGTCCACAAACCCACGAACTTGCAACCCAAGCTGGACTACCTCCTTGCTGCCAAAAATCGAATATATATATATATATGTATATATGTATTTTTACGAGCTCGACTTACTTTAGATGCACGGCAACTCCTCTCTTCAACAAGCAGTACAAATTCTTCAAGGTCTTTCTCAAGCTAGAAAGTAGAGAAGTTAAGTTTGCGATGTGAGAAAGAGTGAAGAGAAGCCCGCATTTATACAAGTTCGACAACCCAGGTCAAGAAGGAATCGTAAGCTCATTCCTACTGGGAATCCAACTCCAAGAACAGTCAGAAGCCTATGCCAATTAGGAATCCGATCTACAAAGAAGTCCAACTCACAAAATAAAGCCCAGACACTGTTGGAGAGCCCGAAAAAAAAAAAATTTCATCCCCTACATGCCACACAACCGCCATGCAGAAGCTGTGAGGCATTTGTGGGAGCAAATATTTTCGTCTCCAATCACGGCACGCCACGTGGAAAAGAAGGTTATCTCTTAAATTAATTAATTGAACCAGTTTATCTGACCAATTAATTAATAGGGATACATATCTTAATTAATAGGATATTATCTTTATTTAATAAGATAATATCATTCATTCAGATATTATCCTAATAAAGAGAAGATAATACCGTTAATTCAGATATTATCCTAATAAAGAGAAGATAATACCGTTAATTCAGATATTATCCTAATAAAGAGAAGATAATATCATTAAATCAGATATTATCCCAACAAAGAGATATAATCAAGTCCAATTTGATCCCTACGAATTTGGGCAAAGAATAAACTCATCATAATAAGAGTGTATTCTCTACGAAACCCTAGCCCCGAGGCTCCTATCAATAGACGACTTCATTCATCATTCAAGGTACATCTAAACCTACTTCTAAACCCGAGAAAAATACCCGAAGCTCTCTCTCCCTCTCCACTCTTCATATTTTCTCTACACGGCTCCGGCCACCACACATGGCTCCGGCCGCCCAGTTCACACCATACATACAACTCCATATCCTTTGCTTAGCTATTGTTTTCCTACAAACACTCGAACTAACTTAGGCATCAGAGGGCCTTTGGCCAAGACCCCCCGGGTGTGGTCTGTTTACTCCAATCTTTTTTACAGGAATCGAGGACGAGAGAGAAGGAAGATCGAAGGTTGAAGGATCTAGAAGCGACTATTCTCCCGCGAGATTATTTGCACAAACAATCATCCTATTATTGTTAGTGGGTTGGAGACTTGGAGTGCATTTACTTGTTTCGGGTTTTTGTGCTTGGTGTGTTGTGTCTTAAGAAGATTGTGTGGTTCTTGAAAGATCCTAACATTCATTGTGATTGCTTATGTTAACTAAAATTGGGGAAGTGATGGTTTAATTTGTAATTTGTTAGTCTAATGCTGTTGCTCTAACCGAGCTTTGTTGGGGAAGTGATGTTTTGTTTGTATCTTTTTGGTTGAGATTGTCGTTGCTTTAACCAACCTTTGATTGTGAAGTGATTTGGTCTTGCAAAGGAGAGAAATATTGAGCCAAACTAGAGAAAAGTGAGGTGAAGTGGTGATCTGAAATGGTGAAACAAACTTACTCATGGGATGAGCTTGTGGAAAGGCACAAGGGCTGGATGTGGGCTCTTCTAAGGTTTCCTTATGTCTAATTTATTCTTTTCAAGATGATGTGGTGTGTGGCCAAGAATAGCCACAGTGCAGAGTGTGAAGGGTGGATTTCTTCTTTCTCCCCCAAGCATAGAATGTCTATTCCTGGACCACTTCGTACCACCCGTCCATCCTATCTACACCGCAGTTAGCTAGTAAGAAAGAATAGCTTTGATAGATTATTTGGTCAAACACTGATTTGCATTTTGGGTAGATTATATACTTCAGCTGGTATTGTTTCTAGAGATATTTTTGTTATCATTTTTCAGTTACTCGTCTATGACTACAACTACATTCAAATACATTCTAAAGTCGTGCACACACATATACATGAAAATATACTTATGTACCCATCATTTGTTTATAAGTTGGCAAGATAAGGTGGCACAGTAGCTTTGTGGCAGGGTTGGCAAAGGATTTGTGACAGAATAGATTCTTGAGAAAGTTCGAAGGGAAGATTAATTTCACTTTAAATGATGGGTACAGAATGAGGCCTATACTTTTGAAGGTCTAATTTGTATTATTATGAGTGAAATGTAGCATAGTTTTCTAATAATTTTTTAGCAAGAATATAAAGTTTCATATTGGGCATTCTAAGCCGTGCATCTTACTTTAGAAATCCTAAGGCCTCTACACCCATTGCCAAATTGTTTTGAGTTGCATGCACCAAAATTATCAATTTTGTTTTGAGGTCTTAACCCTCAGTTTATTTAGTCTACTCAACCATTAATGTTTATGCTTGGAAACTTCAAATTCTCATTCTTCCCAAATTACAGGTTTTAGGGGTAAAAAGAAGGCAGGTTTCTATTGGTTCTGGCTCCAAATCAAGAGACAAGGTTGTTATTGTGAATGAGACGTGAAGCTGGATTGTACTGTAGCAACCGAGTCGTTTGTGTTTATTGTAAATTGTCTTGTTGATGTTTCAGGTACTTCAAAACTGGCAGTTTGCCCTGTCTACACACAGATGACTACTTGTTTATAAATGCATCTTTTGATACGCTTATACCACAACAAGTACCTTACATTATATGAATAATGAGTTGTGTTAATACTATATTTCTTCCCCTTGTAACAGATGTTGTATATTTTCCTTCATCTCTTAAACAAGAGTGAATGCAGTGCCTTTAACCTCTTATTTCCATAATATTTGGAAACTTAAGGGGGCGTTTGGTATCCTATTCAAATAGGGAACTCAAAAATCTTGATTTTTCTTAAAAACAAGGAGTTCTTAAATCTATTTTTAAGATTCAAAAACTTGTTTGGTATTCCACTTGAAAGCTGTTTTCAAATCTTAAAAATTTGAGAACTTGTGGGTTGTTAGAAAAAAAATTGAAAAAACAGATATTTTTTGTTTTTAATAATTGGGGTGTTTTTAAGTTGTTCCTGAGTTCGAGTTTTTAAAAATAGGACTACCAAACAGGTTTTCTTTATTTTGGACTCAAATTCTGTTTTTGAGTTTAAAAAATTAGATTCAAGTTGAATACCAAACAGGCCCTAAGTTTCCTCCTGAAATGATAAAATATAGATTTTGCACCATCATTCCTTCCAAACAAACTTAATAATCGGGCAAACTTAACATTCGGGCACGTTTGCACGTCATTAGTCTATTCCGGGTCTTCCCTCTGTATTACAGATCCATAAAGTCTCTCCTAACTTTTCGTGATTGTACTTTTTCTCAACAGGTAAGGCACTTAATTACGTTCTCCCACCTCAGTTTATATAAATTTAGTACATTGGATTTCTTCTTAGAGATATTTAGCCATATACCCATTCTTAGTACAAAAAATATAAATAAACCCTACACCATTTAATTTCTATAAACAAATCCAAAAAAAACCCAAAAAATAACATCTGGCTCTATTAAATTTAATTTTAATTGTTAAATTACTTTGATGTCCTATTGAGTGTTTGGGGTTTTTATGAGCTTTTGAGGTTGGGCTTGTTCTAAGAGATCAATGACAATTTTGTAATTTATAAGAAGTTAAAAGCTTCTTTGTTATATTGTAAATGAGTTTTTGTTGTGTTTTTAAAGTCCATTTCGTATATGGTACTTTTATAATTTGGGCCCCTATATCCTTGTTCTTATTGGTCCTCTTTAGCTCCCTTTCATTTGGAAAAATATTTTTAGTGTGTGATGGAAAATTTGGTGACCGTAATTGTTCTATCTTTCTGAATGCTATCTGATGCAGTTGAAGTTATGATTATAAATCGTTAACTTTTATGTTGTCTTTGGAAAAAATAGTTGAACTGGTGCTGAAAAAGATAACATCCTTCTTGTCCAAAGAGTGTACGGAAACCACCTAGTCTAGATTGCTTTAAACTAAATGTTGAGGTATGTCTGTAATCCGGTCAGGCTGGTACTGATTTGTTATTCTTAACGACTCGAGGAATGATTGAGTAGCAGGTTCCATTAGCATAACGTATGCGACGGTTTTGGAACTGGAAGCCATCAGTACGAAGCAAGGACTTCTAAAGGCTAAACTGGTCAATAGCTGGATGTTTGAATGAGATTGTAAAGTTTGTTTTGGGATGATGCCTTTGCTGATCTTTTTCCATGAAAATTACGGAGTTAAGGGTATTGGAGAACAAGTCCAAAGTACCTCGTCCGTATGCATCCTCTTCATAAAATCAAAGAAGAAAAATGCACATGATTCATGAAGGCTTTGATTTGGACCGACTCATTGCCTATGGGGAAGAAAGCGACTTAACTAGTTTTCCTTACATCTGATTAGGAAAGTCTACAAAGTCTAGTTCACAAATTCCTTTTGGATCCATTTTGTTGTTGATTTCCGTGATTGTGTTGTGGAAACACAATGTCTGGGCATATAAAAGAATGAGTGCTGTGAATGGTGACCTTGAATTGAATGAGAGTGTGGCTCCACGACGATATGCTTATGAAGAGCTAGAAAAGATGACTAATAATTTCAAGGAAGAGCTTGATAGAGGAGCCTCGTCAACAGTTTATAAAGGGCTGATTTTGGGTAGCCAAAAGCCAGTTGCTGTCAAAAGAGTTGTGTTTTCAAAGGCATGCCTTCGCGCGCATCGGCGCGAGCCAGAGCGAGGCAGCAAGAGATCTCCTGAGGCGGTCAGCTGTTCCGCAAGCTGCACGTTTAGCACGGTGAGGCGTGGGAAGGCATGATGAAGCGCTGCAAGGCCTGGCCAGACGGACGAGGCTGCGCGAGGAAGAAGAAGAAGAGCTCGCGAGAAAGAAGAAGAGTCCGCATGAAATTTTTTATTAGGGTTTTAAAACGACGCCGTTTCACTTTCAGCCTTTTTAAAAATACACATTTATAAATAAACCAAATCCTAGACATGTATTTATAAAAAAACCCAAGCACTATTTAAACATAGAAACACACCCAAAATAAACCCCAAAGTCAACTATTTGGGTGTGTTTATAAATAGGTTTTGAGTGTGTGTAATGATGAGTTTTTGGTGTGTTTATATGTTTAAATAGTGCTTGGGTTTTTTTATAATTTCAACCCCCATTTTGGGTGTTTTAGTGAAACTCCCTTTTTAAAACTGAGGTTACTTAAATGAAACGCACGTTCAGTGTTGTTTCTTTCCTTTTTTTCTAATGAAATTAATATATATATATATTATAAATTAATATATAAAGTTAATAATACATGCTGTGTATTGTATATATCGGATTTCCTAAGGAATCCTTTACATTTGCATGTCTTTGATTTTGTTTTTGCATGTTCAAAAAGCTTTGGCTTTTTTCAAAAGTGAAATTTTTTTTTTGGCTAAAACCTAAATTTACTATATATTCAATTGCAGATTCGATTCTACTGACCCTTTTTTTTCTTTCTAAATTAATATTTTAACACATGGACCTATATATATATATTGTATGGGGTTTTTTTTTTTTTTTTTTCCAGCAGCCTGACGAATGGACTTGGGCTGCTGTAAGAAGACGACGAACAAAATCCCCCAAATGCCTGAGTTCGAAACCAAGCTCTCAAAAGAATTTTTAGAAAATCTGATGAGATTTTAAAAGAACACTCTTAGGTTCACTTTACTAACACCCAAATAGGCATGATAAATCCACTAATGGCTTAGCCTGAGGAGCCTGTGGTATAGGAGCTAAGCTTTCATAAGTTTAGCAATTTGAGAGAGAGAGAGAGAGAGA